TAACACATCTTCATCCAACAGAGGTCTGCTTCAGTTCAGTCTACTTGATGCGTGAGAGATTGCACAGCAGGGGTTGGATTTTGAATGAGATGCACCAATCCACAACCTCCTCAGGCCGATCCATAGGGGGAGTTCGATGACATGATTAAGAGGGCGACAGTGGCGCCGCAGCCTGAGGAGAGGGCATATTTTATGAGGCATGTCCGCAATGGGGTGAAGATGATGAGACAGGCTGTTAAATCCAGTGCCTTCCTTTTGGACCATTTAAGGCATTCTCCATGATTGGTCGAACAATCCACACAGTCCGCTGGTCCAGAACGCCACGAGTTTCCTCCTGTGATGGAGGAGCCTGGTACGGGGATGAGCATCAGACCTCCTGGAAAAGTCTGTACGACTCCCATTAGAAGCTGGGGAAAGGGCTATGGAATGGGAATAAGAATAATAAGAAGTGATTACCGGCTAATGAGTCGGAAAACCTGCACCATTCCACTTCTGCATGGTGGATGGCATACAGCAACCAGCATCCCGATCAACACAAGGTAGTAGTGCAAGTCATGGAGATGTGGAGCATGGGCAGTCCTGCCTAGAAAATTCGGCTTCCATCGACTTTGTCAACCAAGATGAGAATTTGAGAAACCATTTATCAAGGGAGACCTGGAGAAGCTGATTTTACATTCATTGGAACATGCAGGTGTTGGAAATCCCGAAGAACCAAACGAACAGGTGCACTGACATGTGGGTCTCTTTTCTTGAGCCCATATGGGAGCCAGCAGCAGATGGATCTTTGCTGCCTAGGCTTGTGGAGGAGACAAGGAGATTGCAAGTCAAAATCAGATGAAGTTGACATCCATTAAAACTGGAACGATACAGAGAAAGAAGATTAGTGCGGCCCCTGCGCAGGGATGACACTCATGAATCGAGAAATGGTCCAAATTTCTCTATACTCCTAAAGAAAAAAGCACTCGTAAAGAGAAAAGCAGTCCTCGCATGACGCTTCACGCGGGCCCACGGAAATTTGGGAGGGAGGGTGGCACCGCCAAGCAGCAGACCGTGCTGCGGAAAAATGCAAAACCAGGCGGTGACATAGGCGCGGCCCCCGTGTGTCCCCGGAATTCCGCGTGTCGCCGTGTTCTTTTTTTTTATTCGGGAAGATTTGACGCGTTGTTGTTGTTGTTGTTGTTGTTTTTTTTTTTTTTTTTTTTTTTTTTTTTTTTTTTTTTTTTTTATGCGCGTCTCTGTGGGCACAGTTGTGATGTTGTGTGTGAAGACGTGGAGAGTTCCGTTCACACTCGGCACAAAATTGAGACCGGTAGGTTGGCACAGCGTCTCAAAGTGGACCCTCTCTCTCCATCTCATAATGACCGTACATTCTATTGGGGGGCAGACGGGTATGCGCATCGGAGAAGGAGAAAGGATGAAACGAGGACAACAATGACCAAGGAGCAGGGAGGACGGAGGCATGAAGAGCAGGGATGCAAGGAGCACGAGAAAACCACGGGAATGACAAGGATGCATGCAGGCCATCAACGACCATGGCTTGAAGACGAGGGATGTAATGTGACATGGGTAGCAACTACTAACAAGACGGAGGAAGATAAATCATGCACGGAGGAGGGAGCAAGACGCAGAATGAGGAGGAGGGAGGAAGATGGAAGAGGGACCAAAGAATGCAATCTGTAACACATTCAACAAAGGAGGACAAACCCTCCACAAAGGAGGGAGGAAGATGCAGGATGGCGATTATAGACGAGTAGGGAGGATGCAAGGATGAAGATGAGGGAGGCAAAGGAGCATGGAAGAGTGAGCGGGACTACAACGACGTGGCGACAAAAACAAGTACGATAGATCGAGCAGCAGGGATGCGTGAGGGAGCAGAAAGAACAAGGAGCGAGTAAGACGAGGGAGGTGGATGGAGAATAGATGGATGGAGAATAGAGGTTGCTGGATGAGAGGAGCACGGCAATGATGGAAGTGCAGAGAAAAGCACGGCGTGTGATGACAACAGATGAAGCAACAGGGACGACCCAGGAAGGAACAAGGAATCCAGAAAGACAAGGGGGTAGGACATAGAATGGACAACGATGACAAAAGAGGGCCGTGGCGATAATGGAGGAGGACCGGGAAACGGATAAGGACAGGTGAGCAGGATGGATGGAGAGCAAGTGGGACGTGGACTGCCTGAGTGGGAAGATAGACACATATACATGTGTGTGAGGGATGGAGGAGGAGGGTAGGAGAAGGCCTGACGAAGAACGTTCGAAGCAAGAGGCAAATGAATGACAGAGCAATGTTACATGCCCAGTTGCGTGATGTATATACATAGCCAAGGATCCGCAATGTGATAAAAAGGACTGAATGGACGATGCGATGTTAGTGGAATCTCAACAAGCAATGTACATCCTGATACATACAAAATGGCACCTTGTAGCGCAGTGGAAGACTTAGAGATAAGCCCTGACCTGACCGGGACTGACCTCTCTCACGTAGTACAAGACAGCGTCGCGGAATGCTAGAATACCGATGACTAGCCCGATCAATGTCGCAATGCAGACCAACATACGTCATCCTCATCACAAGGTGTGAAGGGGCCTGACACTACACACAGGAAGAATGCGCCAGGTCCAGACCATACACAGACGAAGAGGAGGGGATCAGACGAAGAAGAGGGGGAAGATGGGAATGCCGTCAACACCAAGTCTTCGGTACAAGTCCCAGATAATCCCTCGTCAAATGTCTGAAGCCCAATGTCGAGTTTGGATCCAAATGTTACCAATCCCTCTCTCTCGTAGTCTGCTGATGCAGTGAAATCAGGTAGCGAGAGGGTGAGGGGGAGATGGTGGACTGAGAAGAGGAAGAAGAACTCTCTCTCTCTCTCTCTCTCTCTCTCTCTCTCTCTCTCTCTCTCTCTTCTCTTCTCTCTTTTTCTCTCCCTCTCTCTCTCTCTCTCTCTCTCTCTCCTCTCTCTCTCTCTCTCTCTCTCTCTCTCTCTCTCTCTCTCTCTCTCTCTCTCACACACACACACACACACACACACACACACACACACACACACACACACACACACACGTGCCAGGTACTAACCTGTGAAGATGGCGCTGTGCTGCAGGTACCTCGACGACGAGCTGGAGCTATGGCGCTGCAGGTAAGTCTCCCTGGCCTCCACCCAATCTCTATCTCTCTCCAGTACTCTAGCTCCTAATGGCGCCCAGCGCTGAAGACTACTGCTAACACTACTACTACTACTACTGCACAGCTCCTCCAGAGTGCTGCTGCCGAATCCTGAAGACTACCTCCTGCCTCCTGAACTGCACGTGAAGTGCCTGGGAAGTCCCTATGCGCTACCTGCAGCCTGCAGGGCGGGCCAGTCTTATATAGTGCTGGCCCGTCCAGGAGGCTGCCCTT